CAGGCGTTTGTGAGAATAGCACTAACACAGCAAGCCAAGAGGAGGAACTCTAGGGACACAGAGATATGGGCAGGTTAAGAGTAGTAGAACCTAAAAATGTTGGCACTGCACCCTGCTCACACCCAAAGCACTTACCACAGCAATCCAGAGCATGACTGGGAACAGTGTGAGAGGAAGCCGCCATCAGGGCCATGGAAAACAGCAATGCTTCCACAGGTTACCACCCTCTCTCCACAGCAAACAAGAACCCAGATATGCTTTGCTGTTGCCCTGGCCCATCAGTGCATGTCAGCCAGGAGGTCAGAGCAAGCCATGGGTGGGCTTGGGGGCACTTAGGAAGGGGGGAGCGAAGTCAGAGCAGCAGTAACATGAAGGATCCAACAGGGGAGGTGCTGAGAGCAAGGGGCCTCACAGGAAGGAGAGAACAACCTCAAGTTTGGTGCTACAAATAGAAGCTTTCAACCACCCTGTGAGTCAGCAGGACATGTGAGGAAATGCAATTGCAAAAGCCACCAAGACTTAGGCCCAAAATGAAATAGACTTAATGGACATGCTCTTGGGAGGGAATTTGCAAGCAGAACAGAAATACAGCAAGCCTGGCAACCACGGTTTCAGAAGACAGCAGAATTGATCACCAAAATCGCAGATGTGTGGTAACAACATTTGTGAAGCATCTGTATCTATCAGCACTGCTCACCAGAACAATAAAAAGAACAGTGTCATAATGGATGACAAAAAATTAAAGACATTAAATGAGAGTATAGAACATATATTTTGCTTTGATGAAAGTTATTATCTAAATGGCAATAGTGTTTCTCTTAACAGTTGACAGAATTCAAATGGTAATCTTAATGACGCGTGAGCAACAGTACAAGTACAAAGCCAGCAGGACAAGGTGGTGTGAGGCATAAAGGACAGGAATGGGGTGAAGATAAAGAAGATGATGACAAAGGAGGAAAGAGAAAGATGGAAATGAAAAAGAATAAGAAAGCAGTGGTGATTAACCCCTGCCCAGCAGTGACACTAAAATAACGAGGCACACTCTGCTGGGTCTGGGAAAAGCCAGAACTGCAATCAGACCCTTTATTGCCAGAAGCGGCTGTGTTTAAACCCTTTTCTCCCTTTACCCATTGGCCTTAGCTTTCCTCCCCTCTCTCCGCCACCCTTCTTCTCCTACTTCTTCCTTCTCTTCGTTCGGTCATTCTTCAACATCCCTCTCCTATTGCTCCAGCCTTCATTCTTTTCCCCGTCCGTCTTCCCCTGCCCTATTCTCATTCCCGCCCTCATTCTCTTCCCCACTACTTAGAGGTCCACTACCTCTTCATGTTGGCACACAGCCGCTCAGTAGTCCAGCACATCAATTCTACGGGGATAGGTCTCCTCATCCTAACCCCACCCTATGGCCAATAAAGTGTTTCCTAAAGTATAATCCCTCAGGAAAAACCTCTGATTATTAGTTGAAATATTTCTTTCCTGAGTGACCATGATTTTGTGGCTTCACTTCTATAAAAATTATTTCTGCTTGAGAGAAGTTTTTTGGTTTTTTTTTTGTTTGTTTGTTTGTTTTTGCAAGTCATCCTTAGAAAGGAGAAGACAGTGATCACTCAGATCGTGATTCTATTTCAGAGAGATTTATCAATCCCAGGGTTTAAAAAAGAATTTGCAAAATCTCAGCATATATTCAATCTTATAAATTACATACATCAACAACATTTTTCCAGTGCTTGGAAGCAATTGATGCACTGTAAATAATTAAGGGATGAACATGAGCATGATGCACAAATAATTACTCTGAAAGCACTTTCAGAAAAATTAAATACACATTTGCCAATTAAAAGCTTCTTTGGCGTTGCTACATAATAGTTATGCATTTTCTGCTGGATTCAGAACCATAACCAAGAAAAGAGAGAAGACAAAACATGTCAACCACCATCTCATCTATATGTTGGAAGTGAAATACAGGGCAAACAGAGACTCTATGATGGATTCTGTCAATCAGTAGATTCTTCAAGGACCTCATAGTGCTTGGCATGGCAAGATTGGCACCGATTCATAACTGTTGAAATAGCAAAACCACTTGGGCCCGGCGCAGTGGCGAAGTGGTTGAGGTCCTCGCCTTGCACGCCAAGGATCCCATATGGGTGCCGGTTCTATCCTGGCAGCCCCGCTTCCCTTCCAGCTCCCTGCCTGTGGCCTGGGAAAGCAGTCGAGGACGGCCTAAAACTGAGACCAGGAAGAGTTTCCTGGCTTCAGACCGTCATAGCATCGGCCGTTGCGCTCACTTGAGGAGTGAATCATCGGACGGAAGATCTTCCTCTCTGTCTCTCCTCTCTGTATATCCGCCTTTCAAATAAAAAAAAATAATAATAATAAAATAGATCTTGAAAAAAAAAACACTTGAGCAAGAACATCAGAGCATCCTCTAAATCCAGGACCTGGGGAGGGTGGGAAATTGCGTGGGCCTTCTCCCTTAATACCTCCCTTTAAACATGAAGGAAACAATATGGAAAAAACAATAGTCTTACTCCCCCCCCCAAAAATAAATAAATACAAATTTATGCATTTGCCATCAACTCATAGTACCATATTCATCTTCTATTATCACTCGCAAAAGTGTATACCAACTTGTCAGAGCACTTTGGGCTGAATTGCAAAGAAGCAACTAGGCCAAATTTTTAGGAAAACATGCTAGGTGGCAGCACTGGCGGCAGATATTTGGCAGAACCATTAAGACACCATGTGAGATGCCCACATGCCATAGTAGAGTGCCTGAGTTCAAATCCCATGTCTGCTTAAGATTCCAGCCTCCTCACAGGGCGCAGTCTCTCTGAGAGACATATTTCCATCCTCATGGAGCTGAGTCCCTGACACCTACTTGAGATACCTGCATTATGTTTTCTCTCAGATTCAGCCGCATCACATCCTGCCTGGACACTCGAGGGATTTGGGGAGACAACCCATGGTAGAAAGATCTTTCCCTTCATGTTGGTCAAACAGACAAACAGCAAGGAAAAAAAATCAAACTGGCTATTTGAAGGGGAATTGAGACAAAACCAGATTCAATCTGAAATGTAAGTATTTACTTGTGGGAAACCTTGAACCTTAAGTCTCCAGAGTCAAGTACTTCCATTCAGTGCATACTCACTGGCTGCCTTTCAGTTACTAGAACTTGATGGAAGTATGAGAGTTACAGACATGAGAGTCACAGTTTCTGTTCTCAAGACATTAACAGCAGAGTCTGTAAAGCTTCCATGCACACAATGTGCTTCACTGATAAAACTGTACATACAGTGTGTGCCTCCTAAAGTCCTTATTTGTACCTAAATTTCTGAACACACAGACACCACCATTCATTCCACTTCTGATTCTGATTTACCACACCAAAGCACCATTTCAGTGTCAAGCACTAAGGGAAATGAGCTTGGTGCCAACGGGGGGAGGTTTGGTGGCTCAGCTTGTTAAGGGGTTGCCTAGAATATACAGGCATCCCAGAGGGGGCTGAATCACTTCTGAGCTGCTCCACTTCCCACCCAGCTCCCTGCCGTGCCCTGGGAAGTGACAGAACATGGTCCAGGTGTGTGGGCCACTGGTTACCCCACATAGAAGTTGAAGACCCAGACTCTGTCTTCACCTGCCTGTTGTGCTCATTTGGGGAGTAACTCAGTGAAGACAACATTTCTCAAGCTTCTTCCCACCATCAACACTTAGTTTCCAGTAAATGAATAAATCTTTATAAATATTAACGAAAAACAGACATGATATAATACCACTTCCAAGAACAGTCATGCCAGCTTCAATGCAGAGCCAATTTCTCTTCTTTCTTTCAGTCATGCAGCATACAGCCCCTCAGACACACTCTACATCGGTTCACATTTTGCAATTAACAGAGGCCCAAAGTGCTTTCTCTCAAACTACTCTCAACTATTTTAAAATAACAAAATGTCTAAAATTCCTGAAATGAAAATATTACTAGTTGGAGATTTACATAGCAAGATTGTTATTTTTTTCTAAGCAAATGAGTAGGCACAGCTCAATTTTCTTTCTTGCAACTTTATTTTAGGTAGAACAGGGTTTTGAAAACATGACTTAATATAACATTCAATATCAAGAACAGTCACATCAAATACACTGAATGAATTTCCTGCACACATTCCCAAAGTTGACCACATCTTTCACATTCACACTTAGGAACGCTGCTTTGAGGGGTGGCACTCAGTCCTGGGCAGGATTCTTACACACACACTAAACTGTATGCAGAAATCTAGAACAGCAAGTGACTGAAGCTTAACATAAGGCTGCGGATACTAAATACTATGCTTAATCTGAAATTCAGGTTCATTCAGGTAACTACACCCCGGGCAAATATGAAGAGCTCTCATAAGCAGCAGTATTGATGTGGATGCAAGATTCTAAGCTAATTTATTAAAAAAAAAAAAAAAGCAAGCCTCAGGTTCACAAATTTCAAATGAAACTCCAAATGAAATGTTTTCAATACTAAACAATCCAGAAAGCCCAGTGCATTTAGCAAACACAATGATGTGATAAAATCACAGTAAGATCTCCAGAGAATGGCACCAACCTTTTACATTGAAGATATCCTGATTATACACTATGTCTGGAATGAAAAGTACTGACAGGGTATGATGAAATGCCAGGCTTGAGCAAAAATAAAATATCATTAACTTTATGAACATGACTGAATTCATTAATGAAACACATCATGTGAATCATTCAATGACAGAGAAAAAGTTGACATGTGGCCAAGTTGTGGGATTTGTACATCTGAAAAGTCAGTTTAAGTTGAGGAAGAAAAGTGTTCAAAAGTTTGAATGATGAGAGGATCTCTCTATTTCTCTGCACTGATGAGGGAGGGTAACATTTGGCGAATTCCTCCTGAAAAGCAAAATTTAGGGAATTAAAAAGCATAAACACAACACAGCAATGGAAGATAGAAGAGAACAGAAAGTGGCTATGTGTACCTTGAGCAATAGCAGCCATCCTCAGCTCCACAGGCCAGCATAGTTTCCATGGACATCAGGAATCATAGGCCCCCCAGCCACAAAGAGCTTCATCTCTGGCCAGTTGTAGCAGTGGGTGTATACAGAAAATTTTATTCGGTTCAAACGTCGATTCCAGTGTTCCTCGATGATATCCTCGTCGATCCAGCCCCTGCTACAGGTGTGCTTGAGTTTTATCCTGCGAGCCACTGGGGAAGAGTGCAAGTAGACTTCACGGCCATACTCTAGAAACTTATGAGCTCGGACATCATAGAAGATTAGGGAGCCATTGTCTGTTCCCAAGGTGATAATGTCCCTGTTGCAGCTTATTGAGCACACACGGAAGCCAGTGTGCATGTAGTGCACAAGCTGGGAATTGCCCTTGGCCTGGCGTGGATCCAGGAAACCGATATAGGCATTGCAGCCCACAGCATACAGGGAGAACTCATCGCAGTAGGTCATGCACGCATCCCCTCCAAAGCGGGGAATCGTGATTTGGAGCACCCTGCACAGGTTGTTCTGAGGTTTCCAGAGGTCGAACTTGCCATCCAGGAAAAATGATCCCAGCTCCTGGTTCCTGCTACTGAAGGCAAGGGCACAGACTTTGTGGTTCCTGGAAAAACGGCTACCTGAGGAGACATCTACCTTATCCACTGGACGGATGTGGCTATAGATTTGAATGCCCGTGTTATTGTACCGGACAATGTTATCATAGAAAACGTCAGGGTCCAACTGCCACAAGGCCAGGGTGCCATCATGGGAGCCACTCGCCACCACATTGTCACTCACCCAGGCGATAGCACTGATCCCATCCTTGTGGCCTCGGATGTCACCCAGGCACACAGGGTTCATGGCTGGCAGCTGGTACACAGCCAGGCCTTTGGGGTTCTCGCTCCCTGTGGCCAGAAGTGTCTTGGAGGGATTCAGCTCAATGGCGTGGATGCCACAGCCAGGCGGGTTCCCGGCTGGTGCAGGCTCTCTGACCAGCATCACGGGGCAGTGTGTGATCTGGCCCGAGTGTACATCTAGCCTGAAGAGCTTGTTGCACCTGGTGCCACACACAACCTCCCTGCTATTCAGCCATTGTGAGGCAAACACTTTGTCCAGGGTTCCCAGGTCCAGTTGGTGCTCCCTCAACACGTGGGGCAGGCTCCGTGCTGCAAGGCTGCTCAGCTGGCTTTCAAAACCCCTTTGTGCCCTGTGTCCCTTTAAACCCACCTGGCAGTCCTGCAGGTAGTGCACCAGGGAGCGACTTGTAGCTACTCCCCACCCTATCAGGCCCTTTCTGGTCCCCATTGGCAAGTCCTTTGAAGACCAGCTAGTGGCAGCAGTTTCACACTGGAAGCTTTCTGCTTGCGACTACTAGTTTGCTACTAGGCCTTGGTCAGCAGCAAGCAAGGAGCAGAATAAGCCTGGGAGTTGGCGTTGGCGTTGCCTTGTGTGATGTGGCAAAGGAGATGGCTTCGGTGAGCCTATGGCTGGTCGTTGTGGTGTAGGCCCTGACTTCCTAAAAAAAAAATAAAAAACACCAAAAGAAATAGCAATCAACTTCAAAATAAACAAATGGCACTACATCAAACCAAGAAGCTTCTGCACAGCAAAGGAAAGAATCAACAAAGTAAAACATCAACCCACAGAGTGGGAGAAGATCTTTGCACACTACATAGGTGATAGGGGGCTAATCTCCAGAATATACAAGGATTTCCAGAACAATCAAAACAGGAGAACAAACAAATCACTCAAGAAAAGGGCATGGAAATGGGTAGACACTTTACAAAGGAAAAAACCTGGGCCTGGCACTATGTTCTAGTGGCTAATGTCCTCACCTTGAACGTGCCGGGATCCCATATGGACGCCGGTTCTAATCCTGGCAGCTCCACTTCCCATCCAGCTCCTTGCTTGTGTCCTGGCAAAGCAGTCGAGGAACCTCAAAGCCATGGGACTCTGCACCATGTGGGAGACCTGGAGGAGGTTCCTGACTCTTGGCTCCAGATCGGCACAGCAGCAGCTGTTGCAGTCACTTGGGAAGTGAATCATCGGACGGAAGATCTTCCTCTCTGTCTCTCCTCCTCTCTGTATATCTGACTTTGTAATAAAAATGAATAAATCTTAAAAAAAAAACAAGGAAAAAACCCAAATGGCAAACTAACATATGGCAATAAGGGAAATCCAAGTTAAGACATGAATGAGGTACGACCTAACGCCAGTAAAAATGGCGCACACACAAAAACCCACTAACAACACCTGTAGGTGAGGATGTAGGGCAAAGGGAACCCTACTCCACTGTTGGTGGGATTGCAGGTTGGTATAGCTTCTATGCAAATCAGTATGGAGAACACTCAAACAACTGAAACCATATGATCCAGCAATAGCACTTCTAGGAATATATCCACAATACCTATTATACAAGAAACCAACATGCACCATTATGTTCATAGCAGCATAATCAATAATTGCAAAAACTTGGAAGCAACCAAAATGCCCATCAACAGAACACTGGATAAGAAAGCTATGATTCATCTACTCCATGGAATACTACTCAGCTAGTAAAACAAATGAAATGACAAATGGGCCCAACTAGAAACCATTATGCTAAGGGAAATGAGCCAATCCCAAAAGGTTAGATACCACATGTTTGCCTTAATTTAAAATGAAAGGATGTCAATCTGAAAACTAGTACATGCAAATTACAATATTATTTCAACCTCTAACAGCCTGCATCACATGCAGTAAGGTATTATAATGTAATTAATGAACCAACAATCAATGTCAGTCAGACTGCTTATGATCTACACCAAAGAACTGTAAAACCTAATATACTTGCAATACCCTATGTTATTCCTTAATGGATTGGGAAAGCAGACAAATCTTCCATCTACTTAGAATGTATGAGGAAGATGTGAAGTATGACATATCAAGAACATAACAGTTAACTTATAGACAACAGACTTGAATCAGCATTAGACAGTAGTAAAACTACAAAAACATACAGGAGGAATCAAGAGCGATCCTGACAACCTCTTAACAGGAGGTCATATGCACAGAGCAGGGGGGAACTCAGAGTGGAGCAGGAGGACAGGAAGAAGCTTTTATCCCAACCCTGGAGATTCCCGGATCCTCACCAAGGACTATCAGTATGGGCACCAAGGGCTATATCCGAACAGCCAAGGAGACCACTGGGACTTGGACTGACATCATAGGCTGAGAACTCTGAGATCATCCACTCCGATTCAGATCTCCCACATTGGATGGAAGGAGCCCAGATCCTTCCCCTGGGATCTAATGTCATCAGAGCAACAGCCGGCAGTCTGGAGTGGTCCTCAGAAACAGAATAGTGAATTTCCTTAAGACTCGGGAGGGGAGCTTTCTTTGGTCCTTGCTTAGTTCCATGGTTGGATCCCCACCCTCTCTTGCAATGACCATCAGGGTTGCTCCGGAGCCACCCCCTAAAAACAAAAATTAGATACACAGAGACCAATAAGGAAAGCTTAGAACCAGACAGGAAATGGTCAGCTTGGACTCACATACACCTTATTAGGTAGGACACAAAGATTAGTTACTCCTCACTAAGGTATTGAAGATTTCTCTGCACATCCCTTCTAAAACTGTTCTGCGCCTCAATCATTAACATACGCCTTGTTAGGGTTATAAGCCTGTTAGGGCTATCCTATACTTCACTAAGTTCAGGAAAAATCATGCTTTAATACTATAAGCTGCAAAACATAAAGATGAAAAAAAGACACGAGAAAGCTGAATAGTACACTATAACCTGTTTAAGGTGTATAGCAGCCAGTTGTGTATAAACTAAAACTGAAATGTCAATGAAGTAGTCATCGGATGTGGTTAAAAATTTACATTTTCTAAGATATTGGTCACTCATTACCATTTCAATTAACTCCATGATGCTATAAATTGTTATTGATGTTATGTTGTGGCTTTATATTAGAGGGGATGATATACTTCCAGCTATACATTCAGACCTGGGATGGTCTCCCAATGAAACTGTTGAATTTATCTGGACAATAGGACACTGGACTCAATGCATGGTGCATGTCCTCAATGAAGGAAGCATGTCTGGATATTAACTGTACAACTGCAACAATGCGGAAGAATACAACATGAGGGGAAGGTTTGGAAAAGGGTTGGGGGAATCTCAGAGCCTATCAAACTGTGTCATCACATGTTTGCCTTGATTTAACCTGTAATTTTTGTTTGGCTGTTTGTTATTTTTTGAACCTGTCATTGATACTGTCTCAACCCAGATGTTTCAAAGAATGGAACTTGCATTATTTTTAACATATTGTTTACTCAATACTATGTCAATTAATTCCATAATGTTGTATATTGATACTGAGGTTTTGTTGGGGCTTTTAACTGACCAGAACTTTACTCTGTTAGCTCTACCTTCAGACCAGAGAAGGTCTCCCCAAGAGGCCACTGAACTTATCTGGACAATAAGACGCTGGACTTTATGCTAGGTATATGCTTGCAATAAAGGAATCTCAACTGAAAAAAAAAATGGCCCATCTTAAACATGCTTGAAAGTGTTTTAATTTAGCTACTAATGGATTAAAATGTTAAGACATTTTGCTAAAGAAAAAAAAAAAGAGAAAAGAAAGTAACTGTACAATATGCAAATTAAAAAAAAAAAAGACTGTGGAAGCTGAAGGACCTTTAGCCACTGTTGGTTGAGATTCCAAGATGGTGATTGCTTGCTGAGAAGCTACACAGCTCTGTGCCTCAGGCTCTGCTAGAGGCTGCAAGGGTGAAGAGTTGTGACTTGGCACAGCTACAGAATGGCTGAAATCACAGAGTGCCAGGCTGCCAGTGGCACCCAGATGGGATGACCCCAGGGGTAATGGGTATGAAAGGGCCAATGGTGCTATGGGTTGGGACAGTTGGAGGGTCTGGCAGAGCCTGCTCCCTCTTGGTGGAGTGCAGCATAAGCAGGCATGGAGTTCAGGGTGGGGGATGGGCCTCAGGAGTTGGTTTCAGACAACAGGAGCCCAGGGGCCCGGGAATGATACATTTATGCTGAGGGGGTCTGAGTATGTCTAGCCATGCTTGGGAGACTCGTCCCAACTCAGTCCTCTTCCTCATTGCCACAGACAGTCTTATCTTAACTTTTTCTTTCTTTAATTATGTATTTCACAGTCAGAAGACAGAACCAGATGGGCAGGTTCACTGTTTAAACGGCTGGAGGCCTTAGGGAGGCAGGATCCTTAAAAGCCAACTGGTTCTCCCACTAAAGTCTTCCATGGTCGTTTGGGAAGCTTTGGACCAGCTGCAAAAAAGAGCAGTGCTTACAGGAGTTTCTAGTGTGACAAGCAGAGTCTTAATGTGCTGTATCACAATGCAGGGATTCTGGATTTACCTATCTCTGTATCTTAAGGAGGTGACAACAAATAGTGGAGGTCTCTGAGTTCCTGTGCCAGAACCCGCGGAAGGCTGCATTCCACATGCAGAGCCTGGTCCCAAGTCCTGCCTATGGTGGGGTCCAGGATGCCTTCGTTGGCCGCAGCACTTAGAACCTCTTGGCTACAATGATGGACAGAGGTGGGAGGAGAGAAAGCAGGGTTTCCTTGACTGTTGTGCCTGTCCTTGACTCCAAGAGCCCAGGGGAAGTAGAGTAGAGCAATCCAGGGAGGGGAGTACCTCCCTCCAAGGCATGGGCTTACACTCTGGTGTGGTCAAAAGTTCATCTACCATGTTAGTTCCAGATGGACATGCTCTCCCAGCCAAGCTCTAGGAATTTTGTTACAGAGTGATACACAGACTCCAGCCCACCTCTGAGAGTGGCCAGCTGCTACCAATGCTTCACACTCCCCCAGCCTATTGTACAAAAACATGTTTGCTTGCTGAGTCATAGAGGAGTCCACCTCAGTGTTATAGTTGCTCATCTCTGCCTCTGGTTCCCTTTCCTCTTGCTCAGTCTCTCTCAGCAAACTGCCAAGCAACTTTTTGTTTTGCAAGCTTCATCTCAGTGCACAGTTTCCATGCACAAGCCGGGGTTTCTTCCTACCACCTGAGTCAACCATCTGTATCCCAGTGGGGCCCACGTGTTGCAACATTTCAGTTTTGGATTTCTGTATGCTTTTGGGAAATGCAGACTGTGAGAGCAGACAGGCAGAACTAGCACCTGCTGGTTCACTCAGCAAATTCTTTTAACACCTGAATTTGTAGAACACAAGCCAGGAAAACAAAATCCCTTCCAGTTGTCTTATGCTGGTATAGGAGTTCAACAACTTGGGCCATAATCTACTATATTTCAAGACCATAAGCAGGGAGCTGAATCA